GCTCAGGAGCTTCAGCCAATAATTAATAAGGGAGAGGAGCTGAGGCTTCACTCCAAAGGGCCAGGGCAGCATAAACATGTGGAGGGGTGTTGGCCACTTCCATGGAGCCTTGATAAATATTTAGTGAGCACCTACTGGGTTCTAGACTCCAAACACACAGCTCTGAGCAAAAGCAGTAAAACTCTCTAGTTGGGGAGGCAGCAAATAAATGCATCCATAGCATCAGGTAACTGCTATCAAAAATGAAATAAAAATAAAGCCATGAAAGGAGATAGAAAATGGGGAACGTGCTATTATAGTTTGGGTCACTAAAGGAGGCCTGTCTGACAAGGTGACATTTGAAGAGATCTGAAGGAGGGGAGGGAAGGATCCATATGGAAGATATCTGGGGGAAAAGCCTACTAAGCAGAGGGAACAGCATGTACAAAGGCCCTGAGGTAGGACCAAGCATGTTCCAGGAACAGCACAGAGCTTGGTATGGCTGGACAGGGGCGGGGGAGGCAAGGCCAGAGGGGGGATAGGTATGCATGTCATAGTGATAGTGCAGTTTCTTACTGGTGCCACCCAACCTGAGCCACCTGGAACCTCAGATTCCCTTTCTCCTAGGTCTTTCCCGGGAGAGTTCAGTAACAGAAAAATAGGCTATCAGAATTGGACCTTGACGGACTTGGGGGGAGGGAGTGTTGGGAGAGGAAGTCTACTTCACAGATGAGGAAACTGAGTCTCAGAGAGGCAAAGAGAAGTGGCCAAGGCCACCCAAATCTTGGTCTAGTGCAGGGGTCAAGAGGTAGTTTGTTCTGGAGTTGGGCAAGTCAGTTAATCTCTCTAGGCCTCCTCACTGTATTAAGAGCATGTGCACAGATAAGGGAAAGGAGGAACAAAGAGGTTGAGTCACCTGCCCAATGTCACACAGCTGGCTGCACAATCGCTGGGCTCAATACTAATTGGAGGCCCACTATTTGCCAAGCCCTGTGCTAAGCTCCTTTAATGATCCTCACTCCTCACAGCAACTCCTTTGGATGGAGAAACTGAGGCACAAAGAGGTTGGGTAATTTGCCAGGCAGCCTGACTTGGGAACTCAGCCTCTCAAGAGTCCCCTTCCTCATTATGGGAAATCTGCAAAACGGGAAAAAGTGTGCCAAAAACAAAACAAAACAAAAAAACCCAGGTTGCCCTGAGATGCTCCCTGCGCCCCCAGGCACTATGGTTATTGTCTGTAACCTCTCGCCCCTCCTCAGCTCCCTAGGGTACATCCCCCTAATGAGGGTGGTGCAGTCAGTGCGACACACGACACGGAAATCCAGCACCACACTGCACGAAGGTTGGGTGGTTCATTACAGCAACAAGGACACGCTGGTGAGTGGGCAGGGTAGGGCCAGGTGGGGCGGAGCCAGAGTTAGGGGCGGGGAAGGATCTATTTGAGGAGGTGGGGGCTGAGTAGAGTGGGCGTGGCTGTGCTGGAGGCCAGCTGGAATTAGAGATGGGAGGAGGGGCGGGGCAGGAGTTAAGAAGAGGCGGGGCTAAGGGCGAGGTCAGGGCCCATGGGGTGGAGACAGAGTTAGGGGAAGGGTGGTTTGTGGAGAGAGGAGCCCAAGCCGACAACGTCACCCTCAAACACCTCTCCCCACAGAGGAAGCGGCACTATTGGCGCCTGGACTGCAAGTGTATCACACTCTTCCAGAACAACACAACCAACAGATACTACAAGGTGGGTCTTTCGGCTCCCAGCTCCCCCAGACTTTCCCCCTCCATTTCCAGTTGCTCCAGCCACATGCCGGAGAATCATACCCCGTCCCCACCTCCTGCTTGCCTTCTTTGCTTCCAACTCTTGAGCAAGTGCCACCCTGCCCGATTGTTTGATTCTGGCCCCATCACTTTCCAGCTGAGGGACCTAGGGTGACTTAACTGACCTCTCTGCACCTCACGTCTCTCATCTGTATAAGGCTTCAAAGAATAGCCCTCATCTCAGGGCTGTAGCCAGAATTCAGAGACAATCTACAGGAAGCAGTTAGCTTAGGGCCTGGCATGTATTAAGCTCGAAATAATTATAAACTTGTTATCATTATTACTTTATAATTAATTTATTGAATTGTTTATTTGTATTCATCACCACCACGCATGCCAGCATTGCATTCCAGCCAATCTCCCACCTGGATCGTTGTGGCTGTCTCCTCACTGGCCCCTTCTTCTTCCATTGCCTCCACAGTCTTTTCCCACGTAGTAGCCAGAGGAGTCGATTAAAAACATCAGAACCCACCAGTGACTCCCACTGCCCTTAGAATAAAAACCAGACACCTTGCTGTTACCTGCTCTGACATCTTCCATACACTTCCCATGGCTGGTCCCTTCCCACCCTTCCCATCTTCCTCAAACCATGCTATCTCAAAATGCCATCCCTGCCATCTAAAATGCCATCCCCACTGTTCCATCTCGGTCTCCCGGTTTTATTGGCTGCATAAGTCTGTCTCTCTTGTCACTCTTTTCTTCATTTGTTCCTCTCTCCATCCTTTCTCTTTCAGTACTTTTCAAAGCACACTCTTTTCCCTCTCCATTGACCCTGCATTTTCTCTCCCACCCAGGACCCCTCAACCTCCCTCATGGTCTCCTGTCTCAGTCCCATTCTCTCCCATCCAACCTCAACACACAGCCAGAGAGACTTGCCCCTCCCTTGCTCTAAAACCTTCCATAGCTCCCCAGGGCCCTGGACATAGAGCCTAGGCTCCTCCCTGTGGCCCATGAGGCCCTGTGTGGTCTGGTTCTAGCCTCATTTCCTTCATTTATTCCTCAAACATGGCAAACCTGCTATGTGCCAGGCACCATCCACGTGATGGAGATATAGCATATTGGTTGAACACAAGCCTTTCCCACCTTAGGGCCTTTGCACATATTGTTTCCACCATTCTTCCAGCAGCTGGCCTCTTAATACCTTTCAGGTCTCTGCTTCAATGTAACTTCCTCTAGGAGGCCTTTCCTGACCACTCATGCAAACCAGGCCCTTCTCCACTCACAATGGATTCTGTATACTTTTCTGAGTAATGGGGGAGCCCCAGGTTCTACCTGGTGTCCTCACCTGCACTGCCTCTGTGTCCTGCCAGGAAATTCCACTCTCGGAAATCCTTGCTGTGGAGCCTGCCCAGAACTTCAGCCTTGTGCCACCGGGCACCAACCCACACTGCTTCGAGATCGTCACTGCCAATACCACCTACTTCGTGGGCGAGACACCTGGCGGAGCCCCAGGGGGGCCCAGCGGGCAGGGGGCTGAGGCTGCCCGGGCCTGGGAAACAGCCATCCGCCAGGCCCTGATGCCCGTCATCCTCCAGGATGCACCCAGCGCCCTGGGCCATGCGCCCCACAGTAAGTCCCCCATCATGAGCCCCTGAGAGGGTGGAGTGGGGAAAGCCAGGGGAAGGCAAGGAATGGCACAGTAGCAAATGTGGCTTCTGGACTCAGCAGGCCTGGGTCCAAATCTCCATTAAGCCCTGGACCTGATGTGCGGCCTTGGGCATGCCGCTTCCCCTTTCTGAGTTTTGTCCAGATGGTGACAATTCCTCCAAATTGTGAGTTCAGACTTTTTAATTCATGCATTTACTGAGTGCTTCCTCTGTGCCTGGCCTCTGCTGGACAATTCTGGGAACACAGCTGTGACCAAGACATTCCAGGACCTGCCCTCTCAGGGCTCACAGTCCAGTGGGGGAGATGGCACTGTATTTAGACAGTGATGCCCAGAGTGACCAGGACTGGGACATGGAAACCAGGGGTCTGGAGAAGCCAGAGGAGGTGCTTGATCCAGACTGGGTATCCAGGAGGGCCTCCCGGAGGAGACAACATGTGGGCTAAGACCTGGAAGCTGAGCAGGGGTCAGATAGGGGAAAGCAAATGGGAAATGATGTCAGGCAAAAGCAAAGGGCCATCAGAGAGTACCAGGTTCCTGGCATTCTGAATCTAGTGTGGGTGACAGGTATTAATCAGCTCATTTGGTACAATGACAACTGTTTCATAGAATATGTGCTAAAGTAATCTGACATGGCACCAAGGGTGACAGTCAAGCTGAGACTGAAGGACGAGGAGGATTGAACTAAGTTCAGAATGAAGGAAAGAGGGTGTTCCTGGTAGAGAGAATAGCAAGTGCCAAGGTCCGGAGGTAGGAGAAAGCTTGCTATATCTGAGGCCCAGCAAGAAGGCCAGTGTGTCAGGGACACACAGTAGTACTGTAGGTCTTGACGTCAAAGAGGTAGATGAGGGACCAGACTCTTCCTGATATGCCATTTAAGGGGCTTAGCTTCTTCCTGAGGGCACTGGGGAGCCATGGCTGGTTCTGAGCAGGGGATGGGCAGGGTCAGATTTGTGCTTTGGCAAGTTCCCTATGGAGGAGAGGGTGAATAGGAAAGAGCAGGGTGGGGGTGGGGAAATGAGGGAGGAGGCGGAGGGGCAAGGGCTGGAGCTGGGAGGAGAGAGATGCTCAAGTGGCAGAAGGATCATGGTTTTGGAAATGCCTGTTTCTGGTTGGATTGGTAGCGGGGCAAGTTCAGGGGAAGCCGGAGTCAGTTTGAACTTTTCCCCTGGGCCTCAGTTTTCTCCTCTATAAAATGGGATCAGCGTGCCTTCCTTGGTACTGAGATCACGGGATGAAATGGTCAGTGAAATCATTTGTGTTGTCATTTTTCGAGCCACCTCAGTACATCTCAGTTACTCCTCTCTCTGGCCCTGTGAGGGGGGGGGGGCGCGTTATATTATACCCATTCTTCAGATGAGGAAACTGAGGTTCACAGTGGACAAGTCAGTAGCCTGAAGTTGCGCCTTGGGTCACCCAGATTCAAACCCAGGTGGTTTGACTCTAGAGGCTGCCTCTGTAGTTATGGATGAACACAATCCTGAGCCTGTGGTCCCCTCACCTCTGACTCTCCCTTCTCCTCAGGACAAGCTTCTCTGAGCATCTCTGTGTCTAACAGTCAGATCCAAGAGAATGTGGTAAGACATCCCCCCACCCCGCCCACACTCCATGTCCCCAAGGATGTCCTCCCCCTCCCACATGGCCTCCTAGCTCTTCCACCCTCCCTGGTATCCTTGAACCCTCATCTCCATGTGCAACCCTGACCCTCCCTGTCCCCAACTTGCAGGACATTGCCACTGTCTACCAGATCTTCCCGGATGAGGTGCTGGGCTCAGGGCAATTTGGAGTGGTCTATGGCGGTAAGGACCCTTCGGAGCTAACCCAGAGGCGGTCCTGGGGGTTTCAGAGCTCCAGACCTCCCCTTCTGATTGGTCACATGTCACCTCCTGTTTTGGTTGATTAGAAAGCTAGATTCTGAGGCAGATAGTCACAGGTTGTCCTTTTCTCCTTGGGAAAAGCCAATGGGCTTTCTTCTGGTATGAACAGGGAGGGTGAGCTACACGCTGATTGGTCGCAGAGCTAGAGCCTAGATTCTGATTGGTTATAGATCTAGTTTTCCATGTAATAGAGTCCCTTCTTTGGAGTTCTGTCTTTACCTTCCTTCATCCCACCTTTATTCCCAGGGCCCCCTGCCACTCTCATCTCTCCTAGGGGCCCCTCAGAGCCATCTTGGTGGCCTTCCGTCCACCTTTGTGTCTCTGTGTTGGGGGTGGGGGGTGAGTTTCTTTTGCTAGGACTGGTAGGTCCTGCTCCCCTCATCCCCCACCTCTCTACCTCCTGCCCAGGAAAGCACCGGAAGACGGGACGGGATGTGGCAGTAAAAGTCATCGACAAACTGCGTTTCCCCACCAAGCAGGAGAGCCAGCTCAGGAACGAAGTAGCCATTCTGCAGGTGACCACGGGTCTGTGGTTCAGCTCCGCCTCTACCCAAGAAGGGCCTTTCCTTCTCACTTCCTCCTTTCAGGGGCCAACTGACCCAGTTTGGGGGTAGTCAGGGAAGGCTTCCCGGAGAAGGGACTATGCATGTTGAGACTGAAAGGGTGGAGAAGGTGTTCTGAGCAGAGTGACCAGCCTGTGCAAAGGTCTGGAGGTGAGAGGGAACATGATGTCTGCTAGGAACTTAAAGGAGTTCAACGTTACTAGATGGTTTTTGTGGTAGGAAGTGAGGCCAGGGAGGAGGGTGGACTTTCTCCTGAGGGTACTGGGGAGCCATGGAAGGATTTTGAGCAAGGAAGGTACAGAGTCAGGTATGTACTTCAGAACAACCCCTCAGGCTGCCATCCGAGGGTAGGTGGAAAGGGGTGAGACCGGAGCCCGGAGCCTGGGTGGGAGAGATGGGGTCAGGCCAGGCCAGTCCAGGGCTGGGGAAAAAGGGAAAGACAGAGGTACAGAGCTTCTTCCCATTTCTCTGCACTCTCTCTCCCTCTCTCCCACAACACTGGGCCTTCACTAGAATTTCATGATGTAAAGATTCTTCTGGACACCTGGTGGTGCAGGGGGGTGGTTCACTCTGGGCCTGACCCCAGGCCCCTTCCTCTCCCTCGGTGCCACCCCCAGGGAACAAGCTGCTCACGTAGGGACTTCCTTCTTCTTGTTTGTCATACACCTGCTCCCATGGCTTACTTTCTGACATCCCAAATTTGTGGGTGGCCTGGGCCCTGACCACCACACCACCCTTCACCCCACTTCAGAGTCTACGGCACCCGGGGATCGTGAACCTGGAGTGCATGTTTGAGACACCCGAGAAGGTGTTTGTGGTGATGGAGAAGCTACACGGGGACATGTTGGAGATGATCCTCTCCAGCGAGAAGGGCCGGCTGCCCGAGCGCCTCACCAAATTCCTCATCACCCAGGTGCGTCTGCCCACCCTGCCCACTGCCACCCTTTCTGCTTGGCTCCCCACCTGCCCTGTAGCATACGTCCCCTTGGAGAGGCCCCATGTGCCCAGAGGTCAGGCGACACTGGGTGGGAGTCACAATAGTGAACAATAGAAAACAGTAGTAGAGTAATAATAACAATAGAAGAAATAATAGTGATAATAATTTTAAAATAATAATAGAATAATAATAGGTCAGATAATAGAGTAATAACAATAGAAAAATAATAGGATAATAAGTAAAAAATCATAGATTAGTAATAGTAATAATAGTTATTATTACAGTTATTATGACATTTCAGTCAACTACGGACTGCATATACGATGGTGGTCTCATAGGTTTTAATGGAGCTGAAAAATTCCTATTGCCTAATGACATAGACATCATAAAGTCATAGCACAATGCATTGCTTACGTGTTTATGGTGGACACTGGTGTAAACACACCCACTGCACCACCAGTGATATAAAAGTGTAACACATACAATTATGTACAGTACATAATACTTGATAATGATAAATGACTATGTTACTGTGGTTTATGTATCTACTATATTATACTTTTTATTGTTATTTTAAAGTGTACTCTTTCTGCTCATATCAAAAAAAAGAGTGCCTAAAACAGTATGCTGTGTTATTCCTGTAGCAGCCTCGTACATCTCATGTTTACTGCGTCTCTTGATTGCATCATTTTCTCTTGTGCTGGATTTAATCTCGCATTGTTTTTGTACAGTAATGTGCTGTACAGGCTTGTAGCCTAGGAGCAGTAAGCTAGACCATCTAGGTGTGTGTAAGTGCACTCTGTGATGTTCGTACAATGATGAAATCACTTTATGTCACATTTCTCAGAATGTATCCCCTTCTTTCAGGGATGCATGATTGTACTCTATTTTAGTACATAGTTAGCAGAACTGCCTCTTTTTGTATTGTATCTCATGATGGGTATCACCAAATTCCCCAATTGCTGGGCGTGTAGGTTGTTTTTTTTCTTTTCCACTATTACAAACAATACCCTGTGAACATCCATCTACAAACATCACTGGGCTCTGATAGGAGAATTTCGGTAGAACACATTTAGTTATAGGCACCTGAGTCCAGGGGTCCGCTGTAAATTTTTTTAAAGATGTTGCCCTGTTATTCTCTAAAATCCCTTTCAATCTTTGCCTCCACCAAGAGTTTGAGGGTAGGGTGTCTATTTTCTCACTCCTTACTAGCTCTGCATAAAATAATCACCAGTCTTATAGGTGGAGAAATAATACTTCATGTGGCTTCATTTGACAGTTTAAAAACTACGGGTGAGCTTGAGCATATTTTAATATGTTTATAGGCCTGTGCTTTAGGTACCCTTTTTTCAATTGGATTATTCTTATTGAATTGTAAGAGCTCTTTGTATATGGGAGACTCTGGATCCTTGTCACTGTGTTGTTCAATTCTTTTACCTCAGTGTTTGTTTTCCTCTTCATTTCATTCATAGCTTTTATTTGCCATAGGGAGTTTCACTCTTACAATGGCTTTTCTCTCCCCAGTTTTATTGATTAACCTTTACAATGTTAAATGTTGCTTCTACATGGCTTCTGCATTTCATGGCCTTCCTAGAAAGGCCTCCCCATCTGACTGGTTCTGGGACATGTTCTCTATTGGTTGCAAAGTCCCCTGTGCTGTGTTTCCTTTATCCAGGCCCAGCACCCTTGCTTTCCCAAGCTGTGTGCCTTTGTCAGGCTGGCTTGCTGGGTGGGGAAAGAAACCCACCAGACCTCAGGCAGGGAGAGGGAACTGCCTGCCTGCAGCAATCAAGGTGGTTTCTCTTTCTGGTCATCCATCCCTTCCTCTTTTTTTACTTTTTTATTTTTGGTCTCCCTGTCTCTCTCTCTCTTTCTCTCTTTCTCTTCCTCTCCAGATTTCTGCTTTCTGCCTCTTGCCTGCCTCACTCCAAGTCCTGAGCTAAACCCTTCACTTGTTAGTACCTCAACTACCCTTTCAGGTAGGTATTGCTATAAGACCCATCTTACAAATGAGGAAACTGAGGTGGAGGGAGGTTCCTGGGTCTCACCCAAGGTCACACAGCTAGGTAATGGTGTGGCTGAGAGTTGAACCTAAATCTACCTAGCTTCCGACCTGCTCTCTTTACTCACCACATTTATTAGAAGGGTAGAAATCAACCAACAGGAAATCGGGAGAAGACGATGTACAAATACATCTTGGGAGCTCAGCCTCCCTGTCTGTAGAATGAGGAGATTGGACCTCAGCAGTGGCTTTCAAGGAGCATTTCTGTCCTCAGAAATCATCCAGCAAAAACAATGAGGAGGACAGATACTTAAGTTCTAAGGTAGAGATTACAACTTCATGCTTACATCACTCTTCTTCCAGTGTATTTGGTATTTTGTTTGGGTTATACAGAATCAAGGAAAATCAATGGTTCCCACAGATGAATGCTTACACATGGCATCGATTTTTGTTTTTGTTTTATTTTAAAATCAGCTTCCCTCACCATCATAGAATATTCTTCAATTAACAGATAACAAGAAGAGAGGCTTTATTTGAAATACAGAGAAATATGTTCACCAACAGTCCATCACAAAAATAATAGCCAATAGGGGCCGGCCGAGTGGCGCGATGGTTAAGAACTTGCTTGGGATGCCAGAGGGCCCCGGTTCGGATCCCACATATGAGGGCCAGTGACACTGCCCTCTACAGCTAAGATGCTGAACAACAGC